GGAGCTCAAGAGGAGGTTAACTTCAGCACCGGTGTTGACTATTCCCGATCCTTCTCAAAGTTTCACTATCTTCAACAATGCTTCGAGACAGGGCTTGGGATGTGTCCTTATGCAGGACGGCCAAGTCGTTGCGTATGCTTCACGTCAGCTTAAGCCTCATGAGCAGAACTATCCTACGCACGACTTGGAGTTAGCAGCAGTCGTTCATGCCCTGGAGATCTGGAGACATTACCTTTACGGCGGACGCTGCGAGATTTTCACAGACCATAAGAGCCTGCAGTATATCTTCACGCAAAAGGAGCTTAATATGAGGCAGCGCCGTTGGCTTGAGCTTGTCAAGGATTATGATTGTTCTATCCAGTACCATCCGGGAAAGGCGAACGTCGTCGCGGATGCCCTAAGCCGAAAGGTGAAGGGTGACTTGACGTACGTCATTTCACAGCAGAGTCCGTTGATTCGTGAGTTTGCCCGGATGCAGCTTCAGGCGATCGATGCACTTCCCATAGATGTCTCGGGGAGTACCAGTGCCAGTGTCAGTGCTATGCAGCTTCAGCCGACACTGAGGGAGAGAATCCGGCGAGAGCAGGCTTCTGACGAGTTTATTCGTGTTATGGAGGCCAAGGTTCGCGCCGGAGGCGTCCAGAATTTTCAGTTAGGTGCCGATGGTGCCTTAGAGTTCAGAGGCAGGATCGTGGTCCCGAAGGTCGAGGCGTTGCGGAAGGAGATTTTATCGGAGGCACATACCGCACCCTATCTGGCCCATCCCGGGAGCACGAAGATGTATCACGACTTGAAAGGGTCGTTCTGGTGGCGAGGCATGAAGAAGGACGTCGCCGAGTTCGTCAGGAGGTGTCTTACCTGTCAACAAGTCAAAGCCGAACATCAGAGTCCGATCGGCCTCCTACAACCACTGCCGATTCCGAGGTGGAAGTGGGAGGAAGTCACTATGGATTTCGTTACGGGATTACCGAAGTCGTCTGAACATCACGACGCTATCTGGGTCGTGGTCGACAGATTGACTAAGGTTGCGCATTTCTTACCCGTTTCGATGAAGATGTCTCTGGACAAGTTGGCTGAGATATATACCAGTGGGATAATCCGACTCCACGGAGTGCCCGTTACGATTGTATCAGACAGAGATCCCAGATTCGTCAGTCGATTCTGGCCCAGTTTGCATGAGGCGATGGGCACGAAGCTAGAGTTCAGTTCAACCT